ATAATAACGGTAATAGGGTTAAAAAGTCTGGTGGCCTAGAAAGCCAAAATCTAGCTCAAAACGCTTCAAATTGTGACTGAAGACACCAAAAATCCGCTGAAAACCCACCGAAAATCCGGCAAAAACTTGAAAAAAAACTCACTTCTGCTTAGAAATAATCAGTGTCTCATGATACAAAAAGAAGTATCGATGATGGGAGAGCAGAGTTGACAGAGATGTCAACTGAACGGATCCTTCTTTCAATGGCTTCTTTCCATTGGTGGGGTAGTCCTGGAAAGTAGTTTATAGAAAGATTTTGGGGCAGATACTCAAGTGCTATATGCCAATTTTTCCGAATTGGCTCTTGTGCTATTGTCTCATGTGCTATGGCTCTTTTGCTATGGCTCTTCTGCTACTTCGGCCGTTTTTCTTGGCTCTGGTGCTACGATTTTGGATCAATTGCTATTAATCAAGTCTCATGTGCTATAAAAATAGCATTCATAGCACCAGAGCCAAGAAAAACACCCAAAATAGCACTTTTCCATAGCACAAGAGCTATAGCACAAGAGCCAAATTTGGGAAAATTGGCATATAGCACTTGAGATATAGCACCAGATTTTGGGTGCAAAATTAGACCAAAATTTTGAAAATTTTGACAAAACAATAGATAAAAACCACTGGTGATTTCCCAAAAACTCACCGTCTCCACATTCAAACTCGTTGATGACGAATTGCTACTTATCATGATTTCTCCACCTCACCCATATGACTTTTCCTTCTTCTTTTCTTCTTTTTCAATCGTCCAGAAACCGTCTTGCGTCACCAATATTCAAATTCTTCTCTCAGTTTGAATTCCAAATACCAACGAATTCTACAAAAACAGAAAAGGTAAAATGAAAAGAGAATACAGCTTAACGTCGTCACAAAAGAGGCTTAAGGATCGGCGAGAAGGGGCAATTAGTCAGTGGGGGAAGAAGACGGTTTTGTGACTAATATGCAAATGTAAGAAGTGGGAAGAAGAGGAGGAAAAACGAAACCAAGGTCATTTTTGCATGCCTCCGGATTTTATTTTTCCTCTTCCGTGAGAGAGGGTTTTATGGTTTTGGGAAGATGATGGGGGGAAATATTGGAAAAAAGGGGAAAAAGGAAAAAAAAGTGGTAGGGTTCCAAGACGCCCAGCTCAAAATTCAGTGGTTGCGCATGTTTTTGAACGAATCTGTTCAATTTTTGTCAAGCTCCCGCACTAAAACTGTTCCATATTGGAACTTGACATACTGACAAAGGTCAAAAACCGGCTTGAACACTTTAGGACTGACCTTATAGCAATTTTGAATTTTGCACAGCAGGCTTGAACACTGGAAACCTAAATTTGACCAGGCTCTGGTCCGGTCGGTTCCAAAACGGGACAGTTCTGCTCGGTTGTTTGCCGCGGATTCCCCCTTAGCTTAAAGCGAAGTTTGCTTGAAGTCTGCTCAAAAGCAGCCTTCTCTTTGCCTAACGTCCTCTGAAAGTTTAAATTCTAACCAAAAAACCCGTCAAGTTCAGCTCAAACCAATTAGCTTTTGCCTGAATTTCGCAGCGAAGCCATAGCAAAGATACAGCAGAACTTGAGCGAGACTTCAGCTGAAATTCCGCTCAAAGCTCAGGCGGAAACTTCCGAACTTCGCCTATCAAGGTAAAGTTTTTTCACATGGGTTAAGAATTTTCTATAAACTGGTGGTCTGAAAGTAGATGCTTCTGTGAGTG